GCTGCTGAAGATCACGAATGGTGGTGGAGGTATGTATCATGCTGAACAGAATATTTTTCGTTCTGTAATAGATGTTGACTGATCATGCCTTTTTTTCACTTATTTTCTTGTTCTGTTAGAGGGCATAGTTTATTTTGATCTATTTACAAGTTGAATTAGTTGTAGTTATGCATGTTAGTGCTACGGCATTAGAAATTGCAGCCAGAGTCGTACTAAATGCCCATTAGATTTTCCCTTTGATAGATCACATGGTAAGTTGTTTGCTGTGATTCATGCCGAGTCTTTTACCTAAATGGTTTGGTAATTCAGTTGAGACTGTTGTGTTCTTCCTTCCTGTAGCTGAAAGCAATGGCAAAACAAAGATTCCTATTGGGACTGAAGAGATGTATTTCTTAATTGTTATTGTCAGGGGTTTAAACCACAATGACAAAAATTTGTATCTAATGGTCAATGTTTGGGTCATTGCAGAAAGGAAAGTACTCATTCCAGTGTTATGAGCTCAGTTAAAGTTTCAAGTACTAGCAGATTTGCTTAGAGTAGTATGTTAAAGTTCGTAAGAGGCTTTGATTAACAAGTCTGGGTAGGGGTTAAAGTAAGGCATGAAAATCTGTGAATTGTGCATCAGTAAATTGCAGAACTTGGATTTTAAGTAGGGCTGACTAGAAACAATGATGGTGCACAAACACATTAGCCTTAATACGTGGCCGGCTGCAACCGAGGGATGGATTGTTTCTTCATATCAAAATGCCACAAATGTTTGTATTATGGTTTGCAGATTACACTCGGATTCTAATGAATACAGATATGTTGTGATTTTTGTGTTTGGTTTTGCAAAATAATAAGCTTAGATTGTTTAAGGACACATATGATATCTCGGTCTCAGAAAACTGCCCTTTTTAGAGATTTCATGTGCTTGGTCCAGCCGTCTACTTATATACGTTTGGTTGTTAACTTCAGGTCTTTCCTTTGTGGTGGATCCACTGGTTTGTTCATCTACAGTTATTGCTTGTATTACTACTATGCTCGATCAGATATGTCGGGATTTATGCAAACCTCATTTTTCTTTGGGTACATGGCTTGCATCTGCTACGGTTTCTTTCTTATGCTTGGGACCGTTGGTTTCCGTGCGGCTTTGTTCTTTGTACGTCACATATACCGCTCAATCAAGTGCGAGTAGAGTCAGATGGTTGGTCGTCTATGTGAAGAAGGTACGTTTTCCCATCTCTTTGGAGGTATATATTATAGATACAGGTTTGAGAGGAAGGTAGTTGAGTGTGTGTATCTGATACAATAACTTGTGTTTCTTCTGTTCAGCGTTGTTCAGGTGCACCGTTCGAAGAAAGTGCATTTTACACGATTCACAGATTTTGGTTAGTTTCAGTGGATAAAATGGACCAAATAGGATGTGGAAAGCACGCTCCCCCTTGTGTTTGTGACTCGATACTTGATGATAACGTAGTTTAGATTTACTTCTAAAAACTCCTTTTTGGTTTTTTATAGTATGCATAGCTCATATGAACATTATTGGCACATTAAGTGTGCATCTCTGCAGTTTTTCTTATCTATATTAAGTTTTCGTTCGAGCTATGCATTGTTGAAGTGTATGCCCACTAACGAGGAGACTAGGTAGATGCAAAAGTGTTTAAGCCTTCAAGAACTAGAAGGCTACTAAGTAGATCCTATGTCACCATTAAAAACTCAATTTCTTTTAATTTTTACTTGGATTCTGATAAACTTACTACTTGTTTGCTACAAATAAAATAATTGAACTTAATGTTCTACTTGATTGAATTTTGATGCAAAGGAAAGAAAGTGTGGAGTTGAAATAACTCGGAACGTTTTTTAAAAGATTACGTGGTACGTTTAGATTGAATATGCCCTTTTGGAATAAATATTCGGATGCTTGTGAACTTTCAGGTACTGTTTTATTTAATGTTTGTTCATTTATTCTTTTACTTGCAAATGCAATGTAGGCATCGGGTTTAACAATAATGATATTCCCCAACATACAGCACCCGCTATCACCTCACCAGCAGGAACAAGAATGTAGGTGTACTTTTTTATGGATCGAAAAAAGTATGGTAGCCTCCTATATGCCTTGATAACAAACATTTTTGAAACGACTTGTCCTATTTTTGCCTCCGAACACTTCTACTGCAAGTAACTCTGGCTACATCAAAAACTGAAAATCTCATTCTATGTTTTTAAAACAGAGCGAATCAGAACCTTTCAAAAATAGTTGGATACTTGGACTCGAATTTTATTGAACGTATAGACAATAGAAAGTATTTTAAGGAGCTCTATCTTGGGAAACTACTAATCTATGCGAACAAAATTTATTGCTTGCTATGAAGTTACGTAACAAGCATTATGATTAAGAAATGTCAACTCTATAGCACGTTAATTTAGTATTTATTGTGATAATTTAACTGCAATTTTCATTTTTAGAATTTTTAAAAGTAGAAGTCAAAGTAGGCACATAGTCAAAAAATATTTTCAAAAGTTAAAGACCAAGGTTTGTCGACTAAGTTGCATAGAAGTCATTAGCACCGTATGAGACTTTTTTTTTTTTTTTGATCCAATCACCGTATGAGACTCACTGGCTCATCTTATATACAAGGTTTGGCCAAGATAACACAACTCGCCTCCTACTGTTAACGATCCGAACGCAAATCTGCGATTTTGTAATGAATTCGTCACAAATTCACAAAATTGAATCCGTAAATTTTATAATAATGAAATTCGTGCACCAAAAATACAAAAAAAATTGAACAAAATGAATATGAAGAACTCAAACCCATTAAAAGATTTCAACCACCTACTGCGCCTGTCATCCCAATGAGCCCAGTAACTTAAGTAAGGTAATCACTCTACTCTACGGGTAAAAAATATGAATTTTTGTTTACCTTACCTGATTAAGTGCGATATTCTTATCCGACTTCTGACCAAATTAATCGGGTAGAAAATTAGATGAGCACTTTTGTAGTTATTAATTTTTAGATCATTTTAATAATTCAATTAAATAATATGCACCAATTTAACAACATAATAAATCAATAACACTAAAACTTAAAACAATTATAATAAATCACAAAAAAGTATAAACATCACTCCATAATTATTACACAAATACATTAATAATTATTTAAAATTTAAACAATATTATTAGAGAATTAAAATTTTTAGTTTATATATATATAAATGCAAGTAGGATAAAGGAAAATTACAAAAGTTAATAATTATTCTGTATTTCTATTCAATTTAGTCAAAAAACTAAATATTCTTCCACATTTTTATCCAATTTTTTCTTTTAATTAAACCTTCAATAGAATTGAATAAAATCAGACGGAATAAAAAAATATGACCAATCAAAAATAAAAACACTCCTAACCGTAAGAAAAAATTAATCAAAAATTTAAGAAAAGATAACTACTGCCGCCCTTCTATAAATCTTTTCCATTTATAATGCTTGCGAATCTACAGCTTTGGTATCGAAAGGGTAGGCTGTCANGTTGGTTTCCGTGCGGCTTTGTTCTTTGTACGTCACATATACCGCTCAATCAAGTGCGAGTAGAGTCAGATGTTTGGTCGTCTATGTGAAGAAGGTACGTTTTCCCATCTCTTTGGAGGTATATATTAGAGATACAGGTTTGAGAGGAAGNCATATATATATATATAAATTTGACGTTCTTAGTGGCACTTTCGCTCTTAAATTTTTAAAAAATTTTACGTTCTCATGCTTCGCTTTTTCTTACACTTCCGCTGTCACTCCCGTTTGTGCTCTATGTGACTTAGGATTTGACTTCTTATTCTCTAAACAGTTTGCTGACGATTAAGCTATTTTTTGGGGAAAGAAAGTGACGATTTTATTTGTGGGTGTAAAAGAATGCTAGGAGTTGAGACTTGAGGGGATCCACGTGCTACACCTTTGTGTTAAATTCTATCATACGCTTGTCGTAGAGGAAATTTGAGGTGGCCCACATCTCTTACAGGAAACTTTAGGTGGCCTACATGTAAAATTAATATTTTTGTAAGTTTGAGACGAATTTGTTGAGATCTTTTTTTTTAAAGGAACTTAAAAATTGTTTAAATTCGAATAGTTTAAGAAATGAACCGAGCCCAAAACGAGTAAAAGTCGAGCCGAGTCCGAATAACTTGATTATTTTGCGTATAAACGAATTGAGTTTTGTAAGTTCAAGTCGAGCTTTTAAACTTATTTTTTAAACGAATCTAAAAAATTATTCAAATTCAGTTCGTTTAGAGTTTGAAGTTATAAGTTGAATTCTAAATTTATAAAAACACAATAACCGTTGAGATTGATAAATTTTCACATATTTTGATTAAATGGTATAAAATTTATCTCATTTTTTTTTTTGTTCCAAAACCCTTAAAAACTACGTATTTAAGCTAACTCAAAATAGGAGCGGTGTGGACTTGTTNGAGCTTTTAAACTTATTTTTTAAACGAATCTAAAAAATTATTCAAATTCAGTTCGTTTAGAGTTTGAAGTTATAAGTTGAATTCTAAATTTATAAAAACACAATAACCGTTGAGATTGATAAATTTTCACATATTTTGATTCAATGCTATAAAATTTATCTCATTTTTTTTTTGTTCCAAAACCCTTAAAAACTACGTATTTAAGCTAACTCAAAATAGGAGCGGTGTGGACTTGTCCACATGATTTATCCTCCAAGACTTCATTTTTGGATAAGATTATTAAAGATCTTTGGAATTTGAACTAGCTCAATATTTGATTTGTTAAGACTTGTTTAAATATTATATTTTCTAAAATTACATTGTAAATGAACTTGTTAGAAGCAAAATGTGTCTCGTAAACTAAGCTCCGATCTATCCAACTCAAATAAGTNATATTATATTTTCTAAAATTGCATTGTAAATGAACTTGTTAGAAGCAAAATGTGTCTCGTAAACTAAGCTTCGATCTATCCAACTCAAATAAGTTTTTTTTTTTTTAAAAAAACAATTCTTATTTTACTACCAAATATTATAAGCGTAATATTGAGTTAATTTATTGACGTAATTCATTATAATAATTGAGTTAGTAACGAAATTTCATATTGGATGATTTTTTAATTTTCTTTTGACAAATGATGAATTTTTTACATGAGGACCCAAATTCTTATCGAAAACACTAGCTTTCGATCTCCATCTATTTTAATATTAATTTTTCGTAGTTCAACTAATTATATAATCTATCATGACCTATACTAAGGGTTCTTGTGTTTAGTTGGATTCCTCGCTAATGCACAATGAATGATCTAGTCGACATGAATGTACGGCAGCACCAAGTCTCAATCAATGAATGATATGAATGTACTGCAGCACCAAGTCTCAATCAACAAAATAGTAAAGTCTATTATCAATCTACTGATAGATAATGATTAAGTTAATAAATAAAATCAACAAATAAAATCAACCAAGCAATCCCAATATCCTTTGACAGCACGCGCGTATAATTGCTTACAAAATTTCTACTCGTCTATGAGTCAAAATTATGATTTATATTTGACGAGTAAAATAATACGGACAACAATGACGTAAATTGAACCGCAGTTCGATGAATTTCACGGTCTTCTACCGTATATCCTTTCACTCAAAAATTTGAATTTAATGTNCAATTATATAAAGAATAATTTTACTACAGACTTTGTGATTGTATGCGTTGGTAGAAAATTAGTGAGAAATCTAACTTACAATTAATCAATTATGAAAAATCTTAGAGATTTAAAAGAATATTGTATTTCATATAATACATGATTGTGTTATTGTTTCGAATCTTAGTCTATTTTGTTATTTTTTCTCTCATTTTTTTTGGTATCAACTATTGAATTATTTTTAGTTATATTTTTTTCCCTCTCATTCCTGGCTCCACTCCTATCTATACATCAGATTTTCTATAATATAAAATAAAAAATACGCATGCATAACATATATTTAATATAATACAAATATTTTATCCATACAGACTCTCAATAGAAAATAAACAACGTTTATTAAATAATAAATTGAGTTTCATTATAAAAAATTAAATTTTAATATATAACTCTACGAAGTTTAATACAATGTTGAAAAAAAAATTTGGTACCATACTTTCATTTACTACATTTGTGGTTACATTTACTATATTTGTGGTATTTTTACAATTACTGTGGTACCCAAAAAAATGGTAAAATAGTTACCACAATAGTGATAAAAATATCTATAAATATGGTATACCCACAAATGTGATAAATCACCAACAAAAATGATAATTTTTTTGTACCTAAAAAAAAGGTAAAAATTGTTATTACAAATATTATAAAAATATCTACAAAAATAGTAAATCAACCACAAAAATGATAAATTTTTTGGTTGTAAAATAACTACAAAAATTATAAAAACACCATTTAAAGTAAAAAATTTTAGAAGTATGGTAACCAAATTTCTTTGGCCGAACCGTAATCAAATCCATAACTCTATCATAAGTATTATTGCTCTTTCAAAGTTTGGCACTCATTGCCCAAACACAATTTACAGAAAGAGAGAAATGATTGGTCTTCTCACTCCCCAATTGAAGCCTCTTGCCTTGGCCTTACTCGTGAAAGGTTAAATGTTCATCGCATGCAGTTTTTCAAAGGCCTATTGTCCATAAAAGCTACAACTGAGATTTTCAAAGGTCCATATAACTTTTTTCACTCTTTTTTCCCCCCAATGAGAGCACCAGAGAACTGACAATCAAAGTGAGTGGGTGGCTGGTAATGTGTGTGTGTGTGTGTGTCTTGCCTGGGTTGAGAGGACTGGAGCTTCTGTGGAAAGCTTACAAAATTTTGGGCACTGAAAAACATGGTGTTTTATTGCATTAAAAGTTGAATGGTACCCATGAAAAAAGCCACGGGCGACTTGTTAAAAAGTCGCTTTAATCCTACTTCTGACTTCTGATTCCGGTGTTCCATTTTCAGATCTGAGGACCCACATGCCTTTTTTTGTTTTCTTTTTAAGAGTAATTTTATTTTACAAATTTTAATACCGTACAAAGAAAATTACTAATTTTAATAGTAAAATTATATTTTTTAAATGTGAAATTTTAATTACTAGAAGAAAATTCATGATCGATTATGAAATACTATCATCAATCGTGAATTTCCTGAAGTAATTGATCATGCACTTTATAATTATAACTTATATTTTAAAAAAAATTATAATTTTTAGTATGGTATCAAAGACAATACTGTAATCTTTAAATTTCTCTTCTTTTAATTATATGAATTCAATTACGATACTTCTGATTTTTTTCTAACAAAAATCATTACATGGCGTCGTAATATTTACGAGGTATTATGATACTATTTTTTGGTTTCATATTAAGATTACTATAAAGTAAGAGTGCCGTTAGAATTTAATTTGATAAAGGTATGATAACAAAAAGATTGTTTGGGATCGATACTAAATGAATCCTAACATTATTTTAATATTGATCTTAATTTTGTTTTTTCATAATCTATTGAGCTGTCTTTTTTACTTGTAAACTTTAGATAACAAGGTATCTCTTTTTGTTACCATAGTCTTACCTTTACATTACTCTAATAACACATCATAACCGAATTCTCACAGTTATAAATTTGAGGAAGTTTGAATGTATGCAAATGCAAGTTAATTTACGTCTTTTGGGGGAGTGACTGTTTGCATGATATGAATCTCGAATGGAGAATTTTATTCTCTCTCTCTCTCTCTCTCTCTCTCTCTCCATATATATTGTTTACATGAAATAACATAAGATTCTTTCTTTTGCCAAATTCATCCGTGCTCACATGAGAAAACAATTTACAGAAATGGTAACAAAATGGGTTGAAACATTGCATGTTTTCAATCTTGCCAGTCTGCTTGATTCCAATTATCTCTTGACATTATTAAATTTCAACCACACACTCAAAAAATATTGTCAAATATAAGGATGTTATTGCATAAAATCCAACGATACGATTCACTCAAAGCTGATTATGACTTAATTTGGATCAAATTATGATCTCAAGAATAGGCATTAATCTTCAAACATGATAACAATCCTAAAATTTTACAATCGATCCCAAACAAACTCATTTTGTCTAACCGCATCTAATGGAATTCTAAGTTCACTCAATTTACCACAAGTTTTGTCTACATTGCTGAAAAATAATCATTCAATATTCTAGAATCCAACTAGATCAGACATGAAATTTTCACAAACAGTCAAAGTGGTTACAAATTCTGGGGGCAAACATGTGGTTTCTTCAAAAACCAAGCCACCATCACAAAGTATTTAATCTTTGGAACTTCTTCTTGCAAGCAAGACAATTTATCTGCAGAATGTTGGAATTCATTTCCTTTCTTGCAACATCTTCCAGCACTTGTGCCTTATTCAACTCCATTTCAGCAACTTGTCTGATTATCTTTGCCTTCGTGAACTCTTGCTCAGCCAATTCAAACACCCATTTTGCTTGTCGCCGCCTCTCTTCTGCCAAGCCTCTCTCTTCCCAGGCCACCCTCAGCTGCTCATGCGCTGCCTCTCTCAACCTTGATGCTGCCAATTCATGTTCTTCAATATCAACCCTGTGCTGGAAGTAGGCTTTCCATGCACAATTGTTCAATATTGGTGAATGGTTTATTTCGTTTTCTTCATTATTAATACTTAGAGATCCAATTGATAGACTTAATTGGGTGGCATGATATTGGCCTGGAGGACTAAAAATAGATGGTTTTGGACTTAATTTTCGATGGAAGTTAGAGATAGAGTGATTGTTTTGTACCGAAAACACGATTTCGGGTTTATTCTGATTGGGTATGTTCCAAATTGGAGTAGAGGTGGTGCTTGAATTTGAATTTCTAGGAGCTGGTGACTGCAATTCTGTGTGGATAGTAGTCCTACCTTTGCATGACTCTTGATGCTCCATGAAAATGTCTACCCTGTGGGAATTAAGATAAGTGTTATAAAACAATGAATTGAATAAATTTGGACAAGGGCTCACATGCACTCACCATATATTCTCATTAAGCACCTAAACAAAAAGAAAGCATGGTTTAGGATTGCGGTATTGTCTATCGACTCTGAAGGTACCAAGACATGTCGGTCATTGTATAACAAGATAGTATGAGCAATGCTTACAAAAAAATTACATAGAAGAAGTGGAACACATGATAAATTCAAACCATATCGCGGTGTTGCATAATGATACAAATCAACTTAATGGTAAGGCCTCAAATGACTCGAGGTAACACAGAACTATAATAGATCATGTAAGTTGTTATGCATCCTGACACTTTATCTTGAAATTGAATGAACCGGCTTTATATTTATATATATCCATTTATAGGAAGACACCATTTAAGATACTGGCTGGCAAGGTTTTGATGTTACCAACCAAAAGTTTTTTCAACAGAAACTTTGATGGTTGTATTAATCATCAATGATCAAACTATAGTCATTTTTAAAATTTTCCATAGTATTATTGTTTTTAACTTATTTCTCAAACTACCCTCGATTTTTGTGATATTTTAACACTTATACAAAAACATCAATAAATTGAAAACCGACCTAAAAATTATGACAGAGAAAGGAACAAGATCAGAAAATCGCGAAAAACTTGGATATTAAAGATGAAATTAATTAATAAAGCAGAACCTGGAGAAAACACGACCACAGTCACAAGAATGGCCTCTGGTACCACAAGTTTTGAGATGAGCCTTCAAATCAGCTTGAACAGCATAACCTTTAGAGCACTTGTCACAAACCCATTGCTTCTGATTGCTATGTTTCCTTCTGAAATGCTTCTTTACTCCCACCAGATCACCAAGTGCATGGCATGGATCATGGTGCAAGCAAGTTGGCTCTGGACAAACGTAAACTCGCTTCCGGGCATAGCTACTCTCTCTCTTCAGTAGCTTCCATGGGACCTTTCCAATGCATTTGGAAGCGATTGACAGACAGATAAGTCAATTGGCAAAGGGTTTGTGAGAAGAAACATGAAATCACACTGATCATAAGTCAATTTATAAATAAGGGATGAAATCATAAGTATTATCAAGTTGTGTGGGCCTAGTGGTGCCTAGCGCAGTAGCACCCCATTAAAGGTCTTTCCCT